AAAAAAAAAAATTAACTGTTGTTATGAGTGAATATGATGCTGAATATCATTTAAATATTCCGTTAATGATATGAAAACATTAAAAAAAAGTGTAAAACAGTTTAAAATGGTAAGAAAATGGTAAAAAAAGAAAAGAATTTTGTTAACGTTTGCCATAGTATTTTATGACTCATGGCCGGATTTAGCACAAGTTTGCGCCTCTGGGCTGCAGGAGGTTGGTGGGCCCTCCCAATATAAGTTTATTTTACACATACAAAGAAAGATTAATGTTTCATAAATATTTACTGTAAGGACAGGCCAGATTTTGCTTACAATTTAACTCTTAAGGAAACCTTTTTAAAACCCTTATATCATTTCTAGAAGTGCCTTATTCAAAACAAAACTGCCACATAACACTCTAGTAACTGCTTGCATGGGGCAATTTAAAGAAATAACAAACATGCACCTAAAGAACAAATAAGGTGGCACAAAGCAAATGACCAATGGATGCTGTTGTTACTTCTTCTGACTCATTTAAACTTTAGTATTTTTTATGTTTTTTGACACCCTTTTTAGACAGCTGTGGTTGATTGGACAAAAAAAAATCCATTAGTTTCTTTGCAAAGTACCCTGTTTGCAGAATATAAAACTAGATACCCTTTTGGCTACCTGCAAATCCTTGTTGCCCTGGGCTACTTGCTGTGTTACTGATGTTCGACCATATTAACACAAATAAAATGTTTTTCCTTACGATTGCATAAGAATAAAAGTATTAGGGATGTTACAGAAAAGAAAAGAGAAATTTATGCATTTCCTATTTTCTAGTTAAAAGCAGAAAAACAATTTAATTTTTTTATATCTTGTATTAGGTTTTAAAGAGTTAAAGGCATTTGGTTTGAAATGTTAGTGACTTAATCATTTAGGGTTTTGTTTATGTGTTTACAGTACTTTGAGCATGTGGAAGAAGCAGAGTGGGCTGTTCAGGTGCTGAAGACCAGCGGGAAGCCTGTGGCTGCGTCCCTGTGCATTGGACCAGAGGGAGACATGCACGGTGTCTCGCCAGCAGAGTGTGCCGTCCGGCTTGTGAAGGCTGGTACGCAATGAAGAGTTAAAAAACCTGTAACTTATGATTTTAAGTCCTCATTTTAAAATAAGTGGATACAATTTTTTTCAATTTGAACTCTAGGTGCCCAGATTGTGGGAGTCAACTGCCACTTTGACCCCATGACCTGTGTGAAGGCTGTCAAGATGATGAAGGAAGGTGTGGAGAAGGCTGGGCTGAAGGCGCAATACATGGTGCAGCCGCTGGCTTACCACACTCCTGACTGCAACTGTCAGGGATTCATTGATCTGCCAGAATTCCCCTTTGGTAATAACAAATTGCTTCCTCATCTAGTCAAGAAAAGTGTGGAAAATGTTGTAATTAGCATCTTTTTTTTTTATCTCTGTTTTCTTGTCTCTTAGCCTTGGAGCCCAGGATCTTGACCCGCTGGGACATGCACCAGTACGCCAGAGAGGCCTATAATGCTGGCATCCGCTACATTGGAGGCTGCTGTGGCTATGAACCTTATCACATCAGGGCTGTAGCAGAGGAGCTGGCTAAAGAGAGGGGCTTCCTCCCTGCTGCATCAGAGAAACATGGATTGTGGGGTAGTGCTCTGGAGATGCACACCAAACCCTGGGTCAGAGCCAGGTAAAACATCTGCAAACATTAAAAAAAAGTGCGATACAGCATTTTTTTTTTTTTTTTTTTTATGACATTTACTCTGTTTTTATCTGCAGGGCCCGGCGTGATTACTGGGAAAACATCAGACCTGCATCTGGTCGTCCCCAGTGTCCATCATTATCCACGCCAGAGGGCTGGGGTGTGACCAAGGGCCACAGTGAACTGGTGCAGCACAAGGAAGCAACCAGTGCCCAGGAAATGAACCGCGTCTTGGAGATGCAGAAGAAGGCCAAATCCTCTGCATGAACAATATGCAGTGAATGAAAAGAAATGTACCTGTCTCAAGTCAACTAGACAGATTTTTTCAGCTTTGTTCAGAATAAAAAAAAGCACTGTAACAGCGATACTCCGGTTGAGGAGTGTTTAAATGTCAACTCCAAAACAATAAAACCTGAGTCTGTAACTTTTTCTCTGAGTGGTCTGACAGTTTTTAAATGAGTTTTAAGGGGTTTATATAGGTAATATTAATGTACATGTTTGGAACATGTCATAAAATATCTTAAACCTCTCAAAGCTCTGATCAGTGAATGGCACATCTTCAGACCTACCAATATCGCTGTCTACTTAAGCTGATGCCAACAAGAGGACTAACTAAATCAACTAAATAGGCTTTTTGGTAACTCTAGAACAACTACAGAGAACCAGATGTCAGGAGACAAAACTAAAAAACCTTTGTGGGTTTTTCAAATCTGTCCTTTATGGAGTAGTTAGCATGTTGGAATTGTTGACAGAAAGCTGCTTGCAGTAAGTCCTGCTAAAATGTTTCAAATGAGACTAAGGTGTACATTTAAAATGACATGCAAAACGCTTTTAATCACCATAAAACCATTCCCATGGTGAAATATGACATTGTGAATGGAAGAGTCAAACACAGGCAGTGGTGAAAAGTAGCAAAGTGCATTTACTTATTACTGTCCTTAAAGCTACAGTGTGTAATAATTACAGGGATATACAGTCAGAAATGTAATATATTATACATAACTATGTTATTTATCATCATCTACGA